TTTAGTGGTCTAGAAATTATATAAACGTTTTCTCTAAACTCATCTATTTAAACTACATTTCAATTTTGTATTCCAAACAATTTACTTTCTCTGATGAACAATTCAATCTTTACTTTGCTAGTTCACTAAAATTAAGCTTATAAGTCTGTAAATAATTAAGTATAAAACAACAAAATTCATAGTTAACTCGACAAGCATGGACATTCTTGCTTTTTTCAAATATTTGGTAAGAAACCATCTGCATGAAATGTTAAAAAGTTCTAGGTTCGACTTCCTCTTTTTATAGATGTTGTAAGATTTGTTTAAGATAGCGTTCTTATGAAGTGAGTAGGGTTAAGTTTGCTGAAATCAGTGAATTAAATATTCATTGATAGATGATGCCTATTATTACAATAGGAGCAATTAGTAATTGTCAGTGACAACAAATTATCGATGTAAGTCTTTTAATGAACTGTTATTAAACCCAGCATGACAGATTAATCAACATTTATATGCCAAAAACGAAACATAAAACACCATCACTAGAAGCTACTTGAAATATGAATAATTGGAGGTTGTAGATTTCATGTTACCTAATTTCTAATGTTTAAAACATAGTGCATGCAATGTCAAGTCACCTAGATTAGTGGCCACATCGCAATTTGATCGATAAGATTCGATCTGTTCTAGGAAGGAACTGGCATACATGACATTGATCACCACCCAGTGATCAATCAATTATCTCAGTCCTACAAGAGCTCAGTCGCAGCCAGGATAGCTCAGTTGTAACGTCTCTGACTATGAAGATGGATGACACGGAATCGAATCCGTCAGGGAGCATCAGTTCGCTGAAGATTACAGGTACACCTAACTGACTAGTGCCATGTAACAAGAAATCTAGGTCCATGATTTCTTGTTGACTACCATCATCTTATCTCAACTATTCATTTAACCAATTTTATTATTCACTATTCAAAAACTGTAAATAATTCTTATCATTCAAAATAATTAAACATTAATCATTGTCATGTTTAAGTATCATGAATAGAATAGTGTTTCGTTTGAATATTCAATCTACAAAATAACATCTCATTTTCATTCATATGCATATTATTTTTCCCTTCTCCCGTTTATTGCTTATTCCTTTAGTTGTGTAATTTTCCTTTTTTTAATTATTACACATTGTATATGTGTAGACTTAATAAACTCTAATACCGAACATCATAAATACCCACTTCAATTTGCCTATTTACCTACTATCACTAAACATTATATCAAAATATATATGTAGTTGTGTTATTATTTTTTTAAGAATAATAATAAATTACATTTATAAAAATCAAATATATAAATCACAATAAGTAAGAACTAGTGTGAGTATATTGTTGACTTATTCTTCCTCGATCTCTCACTGTCTTTCACTTTCCGCCTCCCCCTCTGTCTCTCTCTCGCTCTCTCTCACTCATCATGTCTATATGTTTTATGTTCTCTATCAGGTTGTTCTCTATTCTTTTGTATATTTCACTAACTGTTTTCTTTTAAATTTTTTTTGTCTACTTTTCTTTTCATTAATTGTTTTGTTTCAATAAACAAAAAAATAGTATATTCCTTCCTACATTATTTGTGTTACTTTTTTTTAAAGAAAAAAAATTAAATGTTCAATACACGCTAATCTGATGTTTATCAATTATTGTTTTATTATATTCTCCTTAGTTCATAAATAAGTTTGTTTATTTTTTATTCTCAACGCTCCCTCTCACACACACACACTCTCTCTCTCTCTCTCTCTCTCGCCCTCTCCTGCAATAGTAGTTATGCAACACCAGTTTCAACATTTAATTTTCTCCACTTTTCAAAAAAATAAAAAATAAAATAACAACTTTTGAAAATATGCAAATTTAGTGATGGTTAAGTTGATCATGAAAGAATTTGGTGAGGTATAAGTTAGGAATAAATAATAATAACACTAGTAACACTACAAGAACTCGGAATGTTTGTTGTTGTGAGTTGGGTTTTTTTTTATTTCAAGGGGGAAAAGTTTTATTTTACTTTGACATTTTAACTATTTTTTTTTATTATAATAATAAAAACATCAATGGGAGTAGTATTAGTATTACTGGTAGTAACAATAGTAATCGTAACAATAATGATAATAGTAGTTCTATATATGCAACATATAGAAACCCACAAATAATGACAATTATATTTATTCTAAATGTAATTTAAATAATGCATCTTTTGCGTGTCATCTTAATATGACTTAAAACAAGGATTACATAGGATAAGAACAGATTGTATTTAATTTTTATAAAGAGAACTTCAATTCTAATGTTAAGCAAATTTGGATTCTATTTGAATATAATGAAATATTATTGAAAGAATAATACTAAGTATCATTCTATCACATAGACACATTGATAAATATTTGGTTCATATAATCTTACGAAACAAAAGTTAAGATACATAATTTAATACTTTCATTACAAATAGTTTTAATTCGTTCAAATACACTTGTCTATATTCAGTTTCATTGTTTACAACAACTTCAGAAGTCATACGTTTCATTCTTGTTGTAGTTTCATTTTTTATTGCCTTACATAACAGTTTTGCATTTTTAGAACATATCTAAATAATAGGTATTTATATCCTGTGAATAGGTTGAGAGTTCGAGCTATAACTTACTTACTTACGCCTGTTACACCTGATGGAGCATAGGCCGCCGACCAGCATTCTCCAACCCACTGTCTCCTAGGCCTTCTTTTCTAGTTCCATCCAATTCTTGTTCATTTTTCTCATGCATACCTCCACTTCCCGACGTAATGTGTTCGTTAGTCTTCCTCTTTTCCTTTGGCCTTCAGGATTCCATGTGTGGGCTTGTCTTGTGACGCAGTTGGGTGCTTTCCTCAATGTGTGTCCTATCCACTTCCAGCGCTTCTTCCTGATTTCTTCCTCCGCTCGGATCTGGTTTGTTCTCTCCCACAGTAGGTTGTCGCTAATAGTGTCTGGCTAACGGATCCGAAGTATTTTGCGTAGACAACTGTTAATAAACACCTGCATTTTCTGAATGATGGCTTTCGTAGTTCTCCAGGTTTCCGCCCCATACAGTAGAACTGTTTAGATATTTGTATTGAAAATCCTGATCTTGATGTTGGTTGACAGACAGTCCTTTTGAGTTTCAGATATTCTTCAGTTGTAAATATGATGCTCTTGCTCTGCTGATCCGCACCTTCACATCTGCATCAGATCCACCCTGTTCATCAATGATGCTGAACAAATATGTAAAGGTACTTACATCGTCCAAATCTTCTCCGTCAATTGTGATTAGGTTGGTGCATTCTGTGTTGTATCGGAGAATCCTGCTTTTCCCTTTGTGTGTATTGAGACCTACTGCTGAGACTGCTGCTACACTGTTCGTCTTCTCCTGAATTTGTTTTCGGGTGTGCGATAGGAGAGCCAGATCACCTGCAATGTCTAGATCGTCTAGGTTTGTCCTAGATATCCACTGTATCCCATGCTTCCCCTCAGATGTTGACGTCTTGATGATCCAGCCGATCACCAGGAGAAAGAGAAAGTTGTGAGAGCAAGCAACCTTGCCGGACAGCGGTTTTTACTTCGAACGAGTCTGTCAGCTGTCCTTCATGGAAGATTTTGCAGTTTAATCGATCATAGGAATTTTGTATGATATTGACTATCTTCTCAGGTACACCGTAGTGTAAAATAAGCTTCCATAGTGCTGTTCTGTCCAAGCTATCAAATGCTTTTTTGTAGTCAATAAAGTTGATGTAGAGTGATGAGTTCCATTCAATTGATTGTTCCACAATGATCCGTAGTGTTGCGATTTGGTCTGTACACGATCTATCCTTACGGAATCCTGCCTGTTGTTCTCAAAGTTGGGGTCTATGTAAGCCATAAACTTCTTGACAATTATGCTGAAAGACCTCTGTAGCTCAGTTAGCATATACATTAGACTAAAATGATGCATTTAGTAATGGTTATTTGTTTATTTATAAGATTACTTGTAAGGGTTTGTATTTTTCAGTTCTTGGTATTAAGGACTGTAAATAACCACTATCTATTGGTATTTCGGCATATTAGTCGGTTCGTCTAGACATAACCGTTTAGCTACAAGTTTTAACACATTTAGATTCCGGTTACCAGTAGAATCAAGGTCAAGCACCCAGCCCTATCTAGAACACCTTACGCAGATATATTTAGATCTCTATGTTAATGCTCATACTGATAATCGAAACTGGTACCTATTACTCTGAATATCAATGCTCTATACACTCTGACCTTGATTCTGTAAAACAACGGACTTGCTCAGCGTGCAATAAAATATCTGTAAGTCTGTATTTTCCGGTATTTCACAATGAGGATAACTTGGCAGCGTTTGAAGCGATGTGCACTAGTATCCACTCTCAGTATGAGTATCAACAGTTGGATTCAAGTACACCGAGCTGACTAGTCCTAGATAAGAAGAAACGCGCTTCCTGGATCCTACTACTAGACATAATCCAAATATCATAGTTTGTTTTGTTAAAAATCAAATTTCATGAAAAAACTGAGTACTTTAACTAGTACAAAGAAGCATGATTTATCGATAAATCTTATTTACTTTTAATGTATAATTAATGAAAGAAAAAAGGTGTCTTGATCAATTGATCAAAAAGATTAAGTTAAATGATGAAAAATTTATAAGGCTGTACGATATTTGGTGTTTACACACGGAAATGAGAAAACCTATTCTATGATATTATAGTGTATGATACTTATGCAAACATATATAAGTAGTATGTGTCAAGAGATGGAAGATTTTTACTGACAGAAGAGGAACATGAGGCAGAGAAAGAGAAAAGAAAAAGCAGTTAGAATACCAACAAGAATGAGAGAACGATGGAGTTTGTAAAAGACGATTCAAGGAAGATGTACAAATGGTGTATTCACTGTGTTGTTTTCATATTTTACAGATGTTGTGTATAATTTTCCTTCAGTTGTTAGTATGCATATTTTATATTATTTAGATTTCAAACAAAACCTGTACCACTTCTTCGAGTCAAACCAAAAGATGAAATTATTTTTGTTTGTGCCCAAGAATCACTTTACATATTATGGGTAAGTTCATTTTATATCATTTGAATTATGATGAAAATCCTTAATAATTTTGTGTTGTGTAGTAGATGTTTAGTCAATATCTTCAGTATTACCTAGAGGAAATCACCCTGCTTCGGTTTGGGCACCCCTGCACCCGGGCAGTATCACAGCTCTCACACATATCAAATAAGATTTGTGTGGCGCATATGTATTTGGTGTCTCCTTGTACCAATATCTACGTGTTAAAATAAATAAATAAAAATGGAGGAAATCAAAAATTGAAATCAATCAATATTGACTTTATGCAAACTGTAGAAAATATAAAAAAGGTTTAATATTGAAAAGGGTTATAGGTTTATGCTAACTTGTCAAGGCAGTATTACGTGAACTACAAAACTGTTTTTAAAATTGCACATTACATTTTAAACAATGAAACACTACTGTTTCTGCAGAGTGGAATAATTTGTCACTGTTCTGTCATTACGTAGTCTAGTAGAACGAAAATCTACTAAACATAATCAAGAAACGTTGGACAGCTGTTTATTCCAGAAATGTAAAGATGTACTTCAGTGATTGTATTCAACAAACAACTTTGTTTTCTACGTTACTGAATTCATTCCATTTAATAATGAGAAATATCTTCTTAAACAGAGGTAATTTAGCCATTAAAGAATAAGCAAAACAACACAATGAAGAAAATTTTCAGTCAGACGATACCATTCATCTGAGACCTAGATTACATCAGTGTACAACAATAAATTTGCTTGTTCTTGTGTCCAAATTTATATTGAGTGCATGAACCCAACACTCTCTAATTATATCTTGGAACATTAATAAGAGCAATTTTTGAAAAAAAAGAATGAAAATCAATCATCAAACTCAATACTGTAACATCTCATCAATTCTAGTGACGTCTCTCAATTAGGATTATCTTTCAAAATCATCCCTGAAGTTAAATGGGTTGGTCTAAAATGAAGCACATAAAAGCCTTGGTAATCCAAACGTTCAAACCTGAACTCTGTTTGTAAAAGTAGTATAGGTAATCTTTCATTTTACCATATTCCGAACATTCCTATTAATTTTACTTACTCAGCAGTCAGTTGATATTACCCTCTTTTGACTTTTCATAATTATTATTCAGTCTTTATTATCACCACGTTTCCCATTACCTCCTTATATCTATCAGGTGTATGATTATCTCTCATAGTTCTGATCCATAAACTATTTTTATTTCACTATTTTTTTTCGTACGTTAGAAACTTACGTAACTTTCTTGTGAAACATGACGTTTCCGAACACTAAAAGATACAATCATTGTTTAGTAGACTGTTATACATGTTGAATAACTATCAATATGGCCATACAGATCCAGTTAATAATATCGTAAAAAATTAGACTTTCTCAAGTGAATTGTTCTTATTTCTTCTTTAACGAAGACCTATTTATGTAATGTGGGTTTCGTAGTTAATGGATTATCCATCTAACCTATTCACTATTTATTGGTCTTGAACTAATAGCGATAACTCCTAGCTTTGTTTCGATATTTGAATACTAAAATTTCTATTTCGTTTCTAGCAGCAGTTATATGTACAATGACCTTGGAATTAGATCTTAAAAAAGCAACACGCTTGAAGAACCGTGGACTAATAAGAAAGAAGCTTCCTCAAACACAGTAAAACTAAGTTATAGCTTCTGTGGGGAATTTCAGTACGAAAAATGTTAAGCCAAATTTACGAGATAATCAATAGATGGTTGTTTGGGGAATGTAACAACCTTTACAACTATGCAGTGTTATCATCCTTAATGGGATGAAGGTTTATAGAGAATATATGACTATAAATTTGTTATATTTGACTGACAACCATTCGAAAACAAATGAAAAATACAAACTTAACAAGTTCCACGCAATCCCATTTTAATAATGAGAGTGTAGTCACAAGTAACTAACATAGAAGTTGGTACTGGTAAGAAATGGCGATCCTGTAGTGGCAACTACATGTGAAATGATACTTTTGGATGACCGAAGTTGGAAATATAGGATACTGTATTCCAAATCAATTACTCCAGGCTATTACCACAAGATTTTAATAGCCTGAGTTTCATTGCATATAGAACCGTAGTTATATACTGATGAAGAAACCTAAACTAAAACGATCTATTCGATACTCTTTGATCTATGATACTTCATAAGTTTCTTTGCTTTTCACAATAAAGTATAATTTTCTTTGAAATAAACTCTAAAGATTTAAGTTCCCGCAAATGTTTTATTATTTTTTCTTGTCTTCATAGACTTATGAATTCAAAGTATTTGAATCATGTTCAATGTGGTTAAATGATAATCTAATGGTTAATCTTTTATTAAGATGTCCAGATAAATCAAATCGAAAATTACAAATGCGTCAAAGTACTAATAACATTCCAAAAGATAAATTAAACTTGAAATATTCCCAGAATTCATTCATTAAAAATCAATCAAGTTTAATGGGAAATAGTTCAATAGTTGAAAAGAACTATATAAAATTAAATAAATATTCTAAACGTTCTACAAAAATATTCAATAAACGATCGTCATCATCAACATATTTGAAGTCATTAATTTCACATTCTCCATTAATTGATCGTAAAAAACATCCATCACAATTTACGTTATTAGTAGAAGAATTCGCATGGGCTAATGGAAATCCAAGTTTTCCTGTTAATCGTCCAGTTTATTTTCTTGGTAAGTATATACATTTTCAACCTCATTAATACTATTTTACTATTTTATTCTTTATTTTGTCATTACGTAGTAGTGGTAATAGTCAATATCATTTTTATCAGAAGGGGATTTTGTAGAGATTTTAGAAATTTCACAGATTGAAATCACGAGTCAATTGAAGCTAGACTACCATGAAAAACCTAGGAGCACTGGACGGCCGTTTCGCCCCAGTATGGGACTCCCCAGCGGTGCGCATCCACGAACCCGCATCGCGGGACTCGAACCCAGGACTTGTCAGCCACGAAGTTGCGCCAACGTACACCATTGTCTTCAGTGAATTGATATCTCACAACAGACCTGGTTGAACTCCACTAGTAACGGCTTCTCACTAGAACTCCAGGAGTATCTCTTGAAGTCAGTCACTAGTGAACAGATGATTGTTATCAGAAGCGGTTTTTGTCGAGATTCTAGAAATTTCATTTTTGTCTAGACTTTAACATTGATCAAATTCTATCAATCAAGTTATCATGTGGTTATATCAGTTTATGTCATTCAACATTGTGTAATGTTAAGTGATTAAAGGAGATCGAAATGAATCACTAAACCTTTATTTCATGTAATTTAGCACTCACTAGCAGAACATATCAATTCTCTTACAATTTTACACACACTTGATAAAATCTAGTTTGATGAGTAAAAGCAGAATGAATAATATGTAGGTCAACTGAGTGTTATTAAAGTCAGAAAATCTATAATAATAAGATTGTTAGAAATTCTGAAGATTTTGAATGGCTGGAATATTTCATACAATTTGTATTCTAACTAAACTAGACTGATCCATAAATTGACTATATTCACATTCACACTAATAATAAGTAATATTCTTCTTGGATGTTTTGTTAAATATTTCATTTTCAATAAAAGTATTTATCATTATCCAGGAAAAACTTTTGTTTGCATATCCTAAAGTTAACTACCAAAATATGCCTAATACTAACAACATAACTTTGTCAATATAATCTCTAGGATCACGTGTACAAACCACACTAAATTGTCTTCTATATAACTTATATATTATAATTTAGTGAGTTGTAGATTTGTAGAAGTAGGCAGTTTAGCTAGAGAATCCCATTAGGAGATTTAATTTGACCACAAAAGGAAATTATTCAACGTCTAAATGACCTTTTTAAGTAACGATGGATAGCGGCTAGTAGTGTAATCCAGTTTAGACGCGCGTTTCGTCCTATTTGGGACTCGTCAGCGGGATGTACCTGCATTCCGGAGTTGATGTTCACTGTGAGACTCGAGCCCGGTACCATTCGCTTCAAGCGTCATCGTGTTATTCACTTGGCTGCCGAGTTTTAGTAGCCACTTGCTTGTGCAACGAGGTGACGTTTAAATCCACTTGGTGTTGTTTTACTTGTATCTTCCCATTGTTATTTAAGACTGCTATCGGTCAGTCTCATGTTGACATATGTGCATCCATCTTTGCTTAAAAAGCTTGTGACTTAAGGCTCTATCGAGACAATCCACTCAGGATGCATATATGCCAACATGAGACAGATCAATCGCAGTCGTAAATAACAATGAGAAGAAATAAGTAAAACAACACCATGTGAGTTTAAATGACCTGTCAATAGAATGGGATTCACAGGATATTGCGGTCCGACTACAGTAAAAGTCATTTTTAGCACCATTTTTCGATAGATAATCCTAAAATATAATTAGCAATAGATTATATTTGCTGGTCAATTTATTAGTATTTTGGAGAGAGCGGACTTGATTTTAAGACTGTTTCTACACAATTCAAACTATTCGTCCAAAAAATAATAAAATTAAGAATTCAGTGTTGAGGTTGTCAAGATTGCTGTATTTCATTGAGATCACTAACCAATCGAAGGTTAACAACCACTGAAAACTTCGAAACACTGGATAGCTATTTTGGTTCATTATAGATGGTCATCCACCATTCTGCCACCGAAGGTCAAACACAAGAACTTCAGTATCACACCTGAATTTTAACCTCTGGATCACTGATTTAGTGGTGATCCAGTATTGTATAAATCTATAGCATCTGGGTTTTCAACGGTTGTCTTACTTAAATAGATTTGTGATCTCAATAAAGTTGGTGGGATTCTAATATTTAAAGAATATTTCATGATAATAGGCAGACTTGAAATGATTATGTTCCAGACAACAATCTTAGCCAAATTTACATCCGGTTATGTTACTTCAGTGTAGTCATTTATATGGCCTTATAGCTCATTTAAGGATATATTGGCTTATATTCATTGTTAAAAGCGAGTTTTTCTCGTTACAACACTGAATAAGCGTTCTACAGTTAATTTTTGAAGACAAACAGAAACCTGGAACTTTTACTAGACAGCTACACATAAATGGCTGTATATAACGTAACTTAAATTTATCGGTAAGATGGTTTGCATCACAAACTGAATTCAACTATAAAACCACTAAAAACCAAAGAACAATTGGTAGTCATTTCAACTCATCTTGGACATATCTCAACTATAAACATTTACAACCTTACCAAAGACTAAGCCTAAGATCTTCATATCATATTAGGAAGTATATAATATTTTAACCTGTTCAGTCAGAGTTCATTAGTCCATATTTCTAATTCCATTCAATTCCCAATATTACCCAATTCAAACTAAGATTAAGTAACTCTCTATTACTTCTAATTTACTCTTTATAGTTATCTAGTTGAGGTCAGTTTAGTTTATAAACTATCTTTAAGTTTAACAATACTCTACAAACATCCAATTTAACTGTAATAAGAATTTTTTTTGAATCCAAGTCTTGAAAATTCTATTCAACAAACGAATATAATGTTAAACATCTTGTCATTTAATAAAATATGACCTTAATAGTAAAATTTATTCACTTGATAGATTGACCTTTACTATTTTAATAGTTCCATGTCATAACTTTTAAGATGAATAATTATTTCCAATTGCTTTCACATAGTTTGTTTTCTCTAAACTTCTATGAATTCATTCACACTAGAATTCAGCTGAAGCATATAACTAAAAGAACAAACAAACAAAAAAGAAGAAGTCATAGTTTAACTGAATTAAATGAATCTAATATTTTAAGTAAACTTCAGTGAAAACTAATTAACTAAACATTAAATAATTTTAATAGTTGAAATCATGAGTCATTTGAAGCTAGACTACCATGGAAAATCTGAAAGCACTGGATGGCCGTTTCATCCTTTTGTTGGACTCCTCAACAGTGCACATCCACGATCCCGCCTCGCGAGATTCGAACCAAGGACCTGCCAGTCTCGGACGTGAGCGCCTAACAATTAGTCCACAGAGCCCATCAGCATCCAACGGTGTTAATGTCTAACCTCACTGAAGACAATGGTGAATGTGGCGCTCAATTTCGTGGATTGGTTGAAGTTAGACATTAACACCGTTGGATGCTGACCGCCTCTGTGGTCTAATGGTTAAGCGCTCACGTCCGAGACTGGCAGGTCCTTCGTTGGAACCTCGAGATGAAGGATCGTCAATGTAATGATCTCAAATATTAAACTTAATATAATATCCACAAAACATTTTCTGATCCTAATAAATAATTATCGATTCATTTCATTACAAAATCTAATAGCTTATCTATTCAAACAAGAGAATAAACATAAAGCATACACGAAGACAGAAGAATTCATCAGTAACATAAAAATTACGGGAGATAGAGCTAAATTGCAGTGGTTGACGTTGGTGGAGCACACTGTGGGCTAACAGGTGACCAGGATGGTGGGACTGAAAGCCGACCCCGACGGGACTCGAACCCGCAATCTTCTGATCCGAAGTCAGATGCCTTATCCATTAGGCCACGGAGCCCACGACTTGCCACCCATCGTCTCATCTCACACCAACCGTCCACATCAACTCACCTCACACACACAAACGTACAAACACACACACACACACATTCATGCACAATCATGCACAATCGCTCATCAGTCACCACTCACTGTCTCAACCAAACACTCAATACCGCTCAACAACACCCTAACAAACTTACTTTCGTCACATCCAACTACACGCATATGCATATTCACCTCCGAATATGTATATATATATATATATATATATATATATATATATATATATATATATATATTGAGTTATACATATATATACATAATTATATTTATGTTAATATAATTGTTCATGGAAACTTCATCGTTCAGCTTCGGTCATTCGTGTCTTGTGTGTGGTGAGCCAAACACCACTGAGATCGGTCGAATGCATAGCTCGTGACTCATACTGACACGGACTATCCACTGGAGATGAAGTCGATGCGGCGAGACTATAATTGGTGGACGAACCAATCCGATTTAAAACATCAGGTCTTGCATTTCAGCACGAAATTCATTCATCCACATGTCTAAACTGCATTATACCACACGAACTGATGTCAGTTCGTGATGAAAAGCCTGACTCTAATTCCCAACCCTACTGTCCAAATGTAAGTCCTAATCCTAATTCTTCACACTAATCTACAAACCCCATTCAACCCTAGTAAGTAGGTGGACATTCTCAAGTTCATTTGAGCATCGTTTAAGGGTCGTCCATGCATCACAGTGTTACTGTCGATCGGAGTAGTGTCAGCGTCGACACACCAACTCGACCAGTGGTGACGTGTTTTCTGACAAATATCATGGTAACGAAAGACTGACTGGTGGAGAGGTGTCAGATGCATCGTGTGTGTGCGTGTGTGTGATTGTGTGCATGAAATTACGCATGAGTGAGTGATGTCTTCGGCAGGTGGTGTTGGACTGAGACGACGAATGCTCGGGTGTGGTCGGACGACACCAGCGACATCTGCGATGTGTTGGTCGTGGAGTGGAGGGAGAGAGGTAATTTGCAGTGGTTGACGTTGGTGGAGCACACTGTGGGCTGACAGGTGACCAGGATGGTGGGACTAAAAGCCGACCCCGACGGGACTCGAACCCGCAATCTTCTGATCCGAAGTCAGATGCCTTATCCATT